GTGATTGGTTAATTATCACGGAAACTCACGGGTAGATCTACAAAAATTGACCAATTAAATGAATGTCTTCCTATGATGTTGGCGGGGTAGTTATCGTGACCCACGTGACACGTGATCCCAAAATAAGCAGTAGACTCGAAAAGAAAGAATAAGTAAAGTTATATGTATTATATTGACATAATACAATACAAGTTAATACCGCACAACAAGTAAAAGAAGACTTAACTGAGACCCGGTATTGTAACCACAAGACCCAAGCTCTGGAAAATTCGGACCAAGTCTTCCACGCCTCGATCGACGCCTGCCAATTTTGGAGTTTCGGTCTTGCCGCTTCATAGATTTTTAGTAGTGATTTAGTTGTTTTGTGTGTTAATTAGTCATTATCCATTTAGTTTAGCCTTCTACAACGTACGTTACATATGATTTTTAAAACTATGTATGTTACATTTTAATCGATATAAATTTTAAACTCAGGTACGTTAATTTTGAATTAACAGTTATTTAAGAGCAACGTACAATATATATACAACGGTGGTGTTTTTTTGTAAAAAAATGTATAGTATCAGTATAGTATAGTAGAATTTATTCTAAGAGGACTGATTTGGTACATATATAAAGCAGATCCGTATAGTATACTTTAAAAAATCTATACCATGCTGATCTGCGATTTTTGTCCGGTTATATCCTACACCCCATACTATACTGATCTGCAAATCTATAGATTCGCTAAAAATTCCTAAATGGTAGCGGTAGGGATCAAACCACCAAGTAAAATCGATGAGAAAAGAGGTCGGTGGTTCGATCCCCTTTTTAATGAGAAAAGAGGTTGGTGGTTCGATCCCACCTTTGTGAAAAAAACAAAATTCTTAAGAAAAGAGGTTGGTGGTTCGATCCCACCTTTTTAGTAAAAAAAAAAAAAAACCGTTGAGAAAAGAGGTTTGTGGTTCGATCCCACCTTTTAGTGAAAAAAAAGAGAAAAGAAGTTTGTGGTTCGATTCCACCTTTTAGTGAAATTTATATATATATTTATTGAGAAAAGTGCCTAAAGTGTTAGTACTCTTTGTGAGGTTGCTCAGCGTAGGTCGCTTCAGATTGTTCTTAGACCGCAAAAGATATGCAATCTAAAGGTGTTTCTTGTTGATAAGGTCGACTAATTCCGGAAAAGGATTGTTACGTGCTTTCCTTATCGCTATTTCAAGTTTCTTTATATTGCTAATAAAAATATTATGCTTAATATATACATGGAAAAGTTGGCATTTTCTGTTAACCAATTTTTTATTTTATTTTATTTTATACTATAGCGATTCGCCATCGATAAAGTTACAAAACTCAAAAACGAAATAATCCGGAACTTACAAGATATCAAACATTAATTATGATAGTCAAAAGAAATGAAAATATGCATTTTAATTTATTTTTTAATAATAGTAAGACTTCGAAAAATTGAATGAACTTATAAAAGAGAATATGAATGCGACCATATTATAATTATATTCGTTGTGATATAATTGCTTAGATCACTGAATTTAGTGCTACGTAAAATTCAGTATCAGCTATTTTAGAGAGCCGTAAGTTGTTTATTTTTTGAAGAAGAGGTGAAATTTTTACAAATAATAAAGTAAGTGAGTGTTATTTATTTTTTATTATTTTCTATTTTTTTTTTTTTAAATTATGATTACAACATAATTTTTACTTAAAATAATATATTAATTCTTTATTGGTTATAGCTATTAATGAACTTATGAAGGAAAATTTATTATTAAAAGCCAACCATCTTTTCATCCCGAGCACTAATCCTTGGGGTTCTCAAAGCTGGAACGAATTCATTCTGGAGGCAAGCCTTAAACTAATTATTTGGGGTTTTTAAAAAATTATGGTTACAACACGCTGTCTCGATTACCAAGAGACCCTTAAAAAACAGGTTGTCTGCGAGAATTAATAATGTTAGTAATAACTTTCAATAAAGTCTTTTCTAAATTTTCTGTTCATCTTAGACATATCCACCTGATCGTGCATCACAAGATGGTATGAAATTATTTAGGACATAGGCGATCAACAATTTTGTTGCAGATACCTGATTATATTTATATTCTAGAGTCTTCATTTATGCCTACCATTTATGATTTAAATGGAGTATGTCCAACAGAATATTGCATCAGTTTGTTGATATTTTCGCCTGTGAGAAACTCAAGATTTCTGAAGAGAATTTAGGGGAAATCGAAATAATCATTTTGAATTCTCCAAGTGATGATGATAAAAAAAGATTTCTTAACTACATAATTTTTATTGCGGTTTGCAAAATTATGTGAAATTTGCAGAATATTTCTGATTGCCGATTTCTTTAACATTACTCTTCTGATGACATATGTATATCAACTAATATTATACTATAAAATCTTACATCATATTACATATGTACGTATGTAATTAATTTTTCAATTATCGTTATAGGGACCAGGTATATAGTGATTTATATGCGTCATGTGATTTTTAATTTACAAATTTTTGACTGCCGCATAACAAATGTCGTAATTAATTTCCCACTTGGATCATGTTTCAGAATTAAGGGTCAGGTTTTCAGTATGCAAACAATGAATTAGATCGATATCTTACTCTTCGTTAAAAAACTAGCATAGGTGAAGATCTCTGTGATTGGCCAATCTTTTAGACTACAATTTATATAGATATGATAGACGTTTGCTAAAA